ATTTTAAAAGAGCCATTATAAATTTGCTCAAGGATTCAAAGAAAAGCAACAACGTGAGAGAAATAGAAAATATGTAAAAGAACCAAATGAAAGCTTAAGAAATGCCATTGCAGTGTCTGGCCACGCATGGTAGTGCACCTGTAACGCCAGCTACTTGGGAGGTGGAGACAAGAAAATTGAAGTTTGAAGCCAGCCCAGACAAATGTTAGTGAGGCCCTATCTTATGGCTGAAGTGGTAGAGCACTAGCAAGCATAACCCTGAGTTCAAAACCCAATACCATACACACAAAGGCCAGGCATGGTGGTGCATGCCATCATCCCAGGAGGTAAAGGCAGGAGGATCACAAGCTCGAGGCCAGCCTGGGCTACATGGTGAGATGCTGTCTCAAAAAATGTGTATATATACATAAATATTTACATATATATGTATATACACACGATATATGTGTGTGTGTATTCACTCACTCACACACACACATATTCCCCATGGATAAAGGAGGACTATATTAAAATAGCGTCTCTGATCTGGAAATTTAGTGTTTCTTGTCAGAATGAATGAATACTTAACAAGAATTATAGATATATGGGGAGTCTCTTGTAAGGAAATCTGGGAAGACCTCACAGAGGACGTAAATTCACATCAAAGATGTGAATGAAGTCTTGTAAGACCTTAATATGGAAGAACACCATAACCTTTATTGTCTCTCCCATTACCTAGCACATTTTTTCACACATAAGTAAATTTTTAAAAAATCAGAAGTCATAGAGATGACTGTAAAGGGCTGGGCACTTTGGCTAGAATATTCTCTATAAACTTGAGAGTAGCTTCATCTTAAAACAAAATGACTTCTTTAAGTAGAAAAAGATTAGGGTTAGACAAACCCTTATCAAAATCAGTTAAGAACTGGGGTTATGGGTGCAGCTCAAGTGGTAGAGTACCTGCCTAGGAAGCCCAAGGCTCTGAGTTCAAACACCAGTACCACCAAAGTCAGTTAAGAATTATTTAAAGCACAATTCATGTCTCATTTCCTTAAATAAACCATATGTATGTCTGAAAATTTAGGTTAGGCAGCATAAAATAAATTTTGAGATCTTTTTACAGAGATCGAAATAGATGTTGCTAACTTGATTTTAAAGTTTTTATTAGCAATGATTATACATATTTATGGGGCACAATGTGATGGTTCATTTGGTAATGATCAAATCAAAGTAATTAGCATATCTGTTACCTCAAACATTTATCATTTCTTTGTGGTAAGGACATTCAAAATCCTCCTATTTTTAAATATACAACATATTATTTTTCATTATAGTTATCCTGTTATACAGTAGAATACTATAAGGTATTTCTTCTATCTAATTGGAGCTTTGTATCCATTCACCAATGTCTCCCTTTTCCCTTCCCCTTCCAGAGGCCCTCCAGCCTCTGGTAACCACCATTTTACTCTACTTTCGAGTTTCACTTTTCTAGATTCCACAGATAAGTGAGATCATATACTATTTATCTCTCTGTGCCTGGCTTATGCCCTCTAAGTTCATCTGTGTTTTTGTAAGTGACAACTTGATTTTGAAATTACTCTCAACCTTTTAAATGTGACATACACAAATGCTGAGAAGAACAGAAATGGTTGAAGAATGCAGGCAGCAGGAATAATAAATTAGTATAATGAATTTTAATTGAGTATTAACTAATGTACAATCTACTGTTAAAGAGGCTTACAATATGTCAGAAGCTTGCAGCCAGAAGAAAGGGTCGATGCAAAAGCCGAAAAGCCACTTATCCCTTGACTTCTGGCTGAAGCTGTTGTTAGTGTGACCTCTTTGGTTGAAAGACTTCTCATCCTCCATCCCCAGGCCATTCCTTCCTTTGGTTGGAATAGCATGAGACTCTGCAATTGATAAGTTGTTCTGGTAACACCTGTCAGCTTGGAGCACAAAACCCAGGCATTTCAGGAGTTGACAAGTATTATTAAACTGTTTTGCAGAAGAAAAAGCTGGTTCAAAAAGGGAAAGGCTGTCAAGGTAATACAATCAGCAAGTGGTTCAGGCCTCCTGCCTCAAAACACCCAGGCTCTAACCACATGGCCTCTCATGACGGGGAAGACTGCAGGGCCATCTGTAACCATGTATTGTGTTCCTTCCTGTCCAACTAAAACAAATGTGACCCTTTTAAAGCTACAAATTTGTTTTCAATTCAAATACATTTCTTTTGCATGGTTTTTTTTTCTGTTTGGGATATCTCATTTAGAAATTTATAATTTTTTCACTTTATCCTGTTTCTAACCAGTACTGTTTCTCTTTTTTCTTTTTTTTTTTTTTTCTTTGAGCACTTTAATTTGTCTGTCTTTGGCACCCTATTAAACCTCATGTTTGAGTTAGGGTGAATCGTAGTAGTGTTTTGTGTCCATGGGTTGGTGCTTTTGGACGGTCCTTTCTTAAACGCTTAACATAATTTCATGATTTTCAGTAAGGGAAAAAGTTGGGAAAGCAGATTCAAAGTAAATTAGAATTAAAATGTCTCTCCCTATTTGTACTTAACTTTCCAGATTCTCTCTCTATTCCGTTTATACTCTTAAAATTTATGTTCTTTTAAAAAAAAATTAAATATGCAGCAAGCTGTCTTAGCCTGTGTTTAGCAGAAGCACAATGTAAGGCAAAGGCTTAAGAGTACACACTCTACTCAGCACGATACTGGAGGAAGCAGGAGCAAGCGGGAAATTGAAGCGAGGAAGAAAGAGGAGCTCATACAAAGATCCCTGACATTGGAGAGTTAGCCACTCCTCCAGGCACCTGGTTGGTCAGGACGCCTGAAGAACAATCACAAAGAAAAAGAAGCCCTCAAGTGGGAAGAACACAGCATTGGACAAGGCTCCATTAGTTTCCACCTACAAAAATCCACTTGGTACCCATGAAGAACACGTAGCTAGAAGATAAGACAGGAAGCGCAAATGAATCTGAAGTAGTGACAAATGATATGCTGTAATACACGCGTACAGTGATAGATACTCTTAAGTGTATAGGATATATAAAGAAGAGCATGCGCCCCACCATTCTCTGTGGCTCATACACATTTCCTTTTCGATACACTTACACATTATATGCCATCACATACAGTCATGCAGTGCATGAAGACATTTCTGTCAACCATGAGCTACGCATATGATGGCAGTCCCATGAGAGTGTAGCACCTAGTGACATAGCCATTTAGTTTGTGTCCGTGTACTCTGTGATGTGCAAAAACACAAGGGAATGACCCATTTCTCAGAGTGAACCCCTGTCATTAAACAGATGCATGACTGCAGTTCCTTATCTTCCTTTTGAAAACATGAGTCAAGCTGCTCACGGTAGCACATTTCCTATTATCCCAGTACTTGGGAAGACGAGCAGGATTACAAGTTCAAGGCCAGCCTGGGTGCACAATGAGTGAGACCTTGTCAAAACAAAAAACCTAATCAGACCAAAATGCTACTCCTTGTTCTGTAACATGTTTTTCATTCATCTGTTTTTCGCTAGCATAAGGTTTACATTTTATCCCGTTGTCAGCAAGTAGATTTTGCCCTATAAGAGGTACTTTGGAAAACACAGAATCAATCTTTGCTGGCTGAATGAATGATGGTATGCCTTGCAGTTATAATTCTTGCTTAAGGAAGAGGAATCCTGCTAAAATTAGGAATATAGTGAGCAAGATCTGGTCAAACAAGGAGCTCATTGCCAACAGTTGTCCAGTCATCCCTCCAGTCTCCTCCTTTCCCTCTAATCAGCATCTCCACATTCTTGATTCAAAAGCAACAGTAGATGCTGTACAGGGGAAATACAGAAAAGAGAAATGGAGAGTCCTACAAAGATTTGTTCCATTAGCAAGTATCTTAACCTCATGCTAAGTGACAGCCACCTTGGATACAATGGAGAACAGAGCAGACTTAGTCACTCTCTTCACACAGGAATAGTTTACAATTGAAGAGAAGAAGAGTCAAAGCAAATTTTACTAAAGAGAAAATGGTGAAATACCAAAGTGAAGAATTTGAATATTTGGTGAATTAATACAGCGCTTATGTTAATATCAGTTGTTTAGAAATAAGTTTAAATCCCAGCCATCTGCTCGCACATCACACGTGCTACCCCTAATTTCACCACTCCCCTACATACATACATATCCTAAGAATCATCTGGTACTATATTTTTCATGATTTCCCACAGCTGATAATAAAAATACATTTGATTCAAACCAGTGAATTGTGACCCAGATCTAAGTATAAATATAGTGGAAGTCATAAATTTTACTAAGTGACAGTCTTACTAATTAAGTTATTGGCCTGTTTTTAGCCACATTGGATTTTTTTTCTTTTTAAGGTTGTTATGAGTGTTATTTGTAGCAGCATCAGTAAGCCAAGAATTCACAGTTACTCAATCACACAGATTACTCATCATTGCCTGTTCATAACAGGATCCTGAAATGTTTAAGATTTCTGATGCAAATCAAAATCTCATCATCACTTGTCATTGCTAAATTAAATGACAAGATAATAACATTACATTAAAACCATTTTTCTCTTGATTGAGTACCTTTTTCAGAAGTGAGCCTTCTAGATGTATATTTTTTTCCTCTGTACTATAAATGCATTTAGAATCCAAGATAAAAATAGCATTGAAAAGGGGAGGAGTGGGATGTTTTCAAATTATTGATAAGTCTCTTTTGAATCTCAACCATATTTGACAGTTCACTGCTAGGGAAAGGAGTAGGTTAGACCAATTTATTGACAGTTTTTAAGCCACATAAAGGAGGCTTACAGGTTGATCTTGGTCTTTAGTGAAACAATAACATGTTCTTGGCATCAATTACATGTTACCCCATTGAAAACAAGTTGTTACTGACTTGTAGGAATTGCCATTGTTCTGTTACTCATAATAATACAAAAGATTTTTGTTTCAAATATATCAAGCCTGTAAATTAACATAAACTTATAATCAGCTAAAGCAACATAGGTTCGCAATCAACTTACCATTACAAACATACTTCTTGTCCTTTCTTTCCTATTATTAAGCTTTTTGGTCACATCTGCTCTCTCTCCATCTGCCCCATCTGGTCCTTGGACCCCTTCTTTGTGGCCAGGCAGCCAATCCTCATGCCACTTGAACCCATCTTCTTTACTTGCTCCAATACCCAGAATTCTTTCATTTTAAAGTCAGTCATTTCCTTCCATCCTTCAAAGATTTTGTTTCTTCACATCTTCCATCTTTAAAGTTATGAAGCTCTTGCCTTGGAACAAACCTTTTATTATTTTTGCCTCATGTAATGCTATCACTAAGCAAAAACGTGGTAAAAAAATACTTTGCTTCTGGAGACATCAATCAAGGTATCAATTGAAATAAGATCATTTATGAGTTGATAATTATTGAATCTGAGTGATGGGTAAGGGAAGTCTCTACTTTTACATGTTCGGAATAATAATTTCAAAACAAACTTAGCACTTTAGGGTTCTTTTTGAGTCAGTATATGAAATGATGTAGGCGGGATGGACTAGGACCCAAATCTGATCCTGCCTTTCGATACCCTTCTCCCACGTCACCTCACCCCCAAGTAAACAAATAGGATTTTTTAGTACCTGAAATTTCACCTTCCCTCTTCTCCTTAGGCCTGTACATGATTACTCACTAGAATGTTAGTACACTTCCTGCTTCTTGTAAAATAACCAGATAAACCCATGCTGAAAGACACGTTTACTTCCCATTTACTAAACCCTGCTGTGAATATAGCTCTTGGGCTGAGCATCGGGAAGGTAAGTATGAAATTAAACAGAGGTATCTATGAATAACCCTGATGCATACCAACACTAGGAACTGTCATCTGAAGTCAAGCTACAGCAATGGGCTGTGGGGGAAAGGGATTCTGTCAAGGAGATACATCCTCTGTAATGATACGAACTCCTGTGTATCATCTTAGAGGAAAGACAGTCTTCTCTTCTGTGGTTCACAGTTCTACTTAAGGCTAATCAGAGCTCCATCAGATAACCTTTCCTGCCTTCTAAAGAACATAAATCAATTGCAGTTACCAATGTACCCTTCTTTTCTTCCCTTTTTAAATTATAATAGTCTTACTTCTCGTTTGCCAAAAACTGGAGAAACCATCCATGGACATAAGTTTTTTATTGGCTTCGGAGGGAAAGGTGCCAATCAGTGTGTCCAAGCTGCTAGGCTTGGAGCAAAGACGTCCATAGTGTGCAAGGTAAGCACAAAGCACAGGATTCTAGGGGCAGATCTCTGGTTTTAGGTGAATTTATTGGTTTTGTTTTTCTTAATCATTATAAGATGAACAAATCAGTGGCATTTAGTATGTTCACAGTGTTGTGCAACCACCAGTTCTAGAACATTACCATCATTCCAAACTCAAGCCTCTTACCTTTAATCAGTTTCTTTCCTTGTCTTTCTCCCTGTGGGTGTTGGTAACCATCAGCCTGTATTTTTTCTCTATGGATTTATTTATTCTGGATATTTCATATAATTGGAATATGTAATGTATGACATTTTATGTCTGCTTCTTTCACTTAACATACTGTTTTCAAGGTTCATCCACCTTGTACAATGTATCAATATTCCAATCTTTCTGTGGCAAAATAATACCCCATTGTGTGGATATACCACAATCTGTTTATCCATTAATGAATAGACTGATGGACACTGGGTTGTTTCTACCTTTTTTGCTGCTGTGAATATGAATGCACATACACTTGAGTACCTGTTTTCAGTTTTTTGAAAGTTCATTTTTAAAGATCTAATAAGACAGAGTAATCTTCTTGTCCTTTATATTAATTTTTACCTCACTGAATCTTCTGGGAAGTAGCAGTTATCAAATAACGTAATGCTGCATTCCTTGAATGTAATGCCTTGGTAACTGCATTGTGCAAAGTGAGGGGAATTAGCCTCTCCAGTGGGTGTCTGCAATCCAGCTTCTAAACAACAACATGAGTCATCCTGTTTTCAGCAAGTTGTACTGCAGCAGCACAGCTTTTGGAAACTTAGTCTAGTCACTGGTGGTTTACTCATCACTAAGTGATTCTCTTCTAAGGCCGTATCTTAGATTAGAAAGGAATCTGAGCCTTAATTTTTTAAGAACTACACACAACCCATCTTTTGGCATACTTCTATTTTCAAGTGTATAGGGAAATGGCTTGCAACATTCAGTAGTTATTTCTACCCATCCTACTGAAATAATTTGAAAATTAAAAAATTGTCAGAGTTTTGAATTTTGCATCTTTCATGCTGTCTTTTCTCTTTTTTATATTTTTATTAGAATATATCAGTTGTATAGAGGGGTTCATTGTGACATTTACGTAGGTGCTTACAATGTATCTTAATTAGATCCTCCATCATTCTCTCTCATTCCCTTTCCTTGCCTTTTTAGAACAATTCCAGCAGGTTTCATTGTTCTATTTTCATACATGTATACAAAGTACATTGACCATATTTGCCCTCCTTCACCCTCTCCATTTATCTTCCCCCTTCCCACTGGTACCCGTCCCAAACAGGACCCCATCATTTTTTATGTGTATATTAATTGGGGTTTGGCCATGGTCTTTCACACATGTATATATTCTTTAATCAGATTAACCCTTTCTGTTGCTATCTTTCTCAATAGCCCTGCTCCCCTATTACTCAACAGCTTTCAGTGCATTTTGTTATGCTATCTTCATACACAGATGCAATGTATTTTGATATTGTTCACTCTGTATCATTTTCTTTTCCTCTCCTGCCTCCCTCTGGTCCCCTCCAATACACCCACTATTACAATCATGTTCTCTGTGTGTGTGTGTGTGTGTGTGTGTGTGTAGGTACATAAATATGAATTTAAGAATAGCAAACTAAGGGTTTGGGTAGCTTAAGTGGTAGAGTGCTGCCTTGGAAGTGTGAGGCCTTGAGTTCAAACCTCAGTACTGCCATACATTTATCTTTTAGGCTAAGAAGGACTAAGGTCACATGTTTTCCTTCATATGGAAGCTAGACCTTTCATGCTATTTTAAGATGTATAAATAGTTATTACTAGTATAACAGGAGAGGCATAAATTATGCTGTTGGAGTTTGTTATATATAGGGAAGGCTAGGCTGGGTCTGTAGAGGATAAGAAAAACATGAAAAACTTAAAAGGATGATTCCTGTGAACTCTATAGACTTTATTAAAATTTCTTTGAAATGTCATTTCATACTGTGTACAGCACTTTTCTCTCCACTGATGTACAAACTATACAATTATCACTTCATCTGCTAATGAAATGTAACTTTATTTCTAATTTGTGACATTATATAAAACTTAATATTCAAAGTAAAAAAACCCTCAATGGTTAAGGTAGAGTTCTCTATACGGTTAAAATATCAATGTAATTAATCAGCAAATAATTATGTTTTAACAGTTACGGAGCTATCAGAGGGAGGTGATGAAAAATTTTAGGCCTGAGCCATTGCATCTTTGATTAGATGTGGGGTCTGAGGAGTAATCAGATGGTGCTGAGTTAGGGGACTTAGGAACTGGGAAGAGGACGAGCATCCTGAACACAGAATAGGTTTGCAAAGCTAAGGTATCCAAAATGACTATCCTGGAAGAGGGGAGTTTCCTGGAGCTGGAGGTGTAATAGAAGAGATTGGAGAACCCTTCTTGGAAGCTTTATAGAAGCTATTCATGAAGCCATTAAAGTCAAGATTAGGTATCCCCTGGAATCTCACTCAACTCTAAAATTTTTTAGATAGTTTTATTTTAGGTCTGTTGAATTTGAGGCAAAGAGAGAAAGGCAAAATAGAATATTTGAATTACAGACTGAAATTGGAAAATGAATCATGAAACTATATGAGTAGATATGAGAGGAAAAGAAGGAAGGGAGCTATATTTTGGTGTTCCAGTTAGAAGATTGATTGGAGTAAAGGTGCTGTTTTATTCTGCTCTGTGTATAATGGCTTGTGTAGCACTTGAATGATTGTGAAAGTTGTACGCATCCTCTGTGCCCCTGATTAGTCATCTGATGTTTGCCCCACACTAGAAATTTGGTCTAGGTGTCTGCACAGTAAACAATAAGAAAACTTAACTTCAAGTAAAACCGATCCAGGGCGACTTTGCATGGGTACCCTGGGACTTTGGGCCAAAGATTTATTTAAAAACTTAAGCAAATTGCATAATGTTCTTAGACTACTTAAAAATAACATACTTTAGTAGAAGTTATTATTTATCCACTAATCATATTTTTTTGATTGTGGAGTATATTTTTAGTAAGAAAATTAGCCAAACTTGTTTTATGCCAGTTTTTTAAGATGACAAGTTTCAAGTTGAAATCCAACATATTAATCAAGATAAAAATGATCAGATAAAGCAAAGAAAAACTGATAGAAAATACCCTATGGTTTTCTTAGCAACATTAATTTACCTACTACTGCCCCACAACAAACTAGATGTCAGGCCCTGATGAAGTAAGACTGTTTGATGGCATGGGCAAAAACACTTAACATTGAACTAGGGAGAATTATTTGTTAAGACAGTGTGACAAAACATATTAAGCAAGAGTTACATCAGTATTTATACAGTGACACATGGATGATGAAACACTTTGAAGTAGTTAAGATTCATGTAGTTAGTATTCAACTGAGTCATGGGCCAAGGCTACAGTCCAGTGATAATTGGAGATGGCATTTTGAGATTAAAAATCAGGCAGATATTGTAGAAGATAAAAGTCTTCTTCCAGGACAAAGAGCCTATTAGGACATGTTTCATAGTGCTTCACCTGATTTGTGCACATGCTTCCTCCTACTCCATTCCATTGAAGCCAAATGTTAGAGAGGAGGAAATTATTCCAAACATCAAATATTGGCAACTCAGGAGGACTATGTTAATAAAAAGTTCAAAATGCAGTGTTCCAGTATGAGCCCAGGAACCCTGCTTTCTCTGCAGATGAGCAAAAGACACAGAAGACATGGACCAAAGTGACCCAGGTCAGGAATCAGCAAACTGAGATGACCTTCAAAAATTGCCTGGTCTTCCTTGCAACAAATGTGAGACTATCTCAACTATAATGCAGATAGCCATCTGTTTTCCCTTCAGAAAGGTCAGGTAGGAGGTTCGGTGACACAGTGTTAGGTCAGTTCTACTCAAAAGTCTAGGCAGGCTAGTGCTGGGCTACAGAATGTCACTGGTCCGGACAGTACAGAAACTAAAAGTAAGCAGAAAATCATTTACAAAAATTTGACACAGTAGTTGTATTGGCATTGAATATAATACTAATAATTAGGCTTTATATTTTATATGATTCTTTTTATTTTTATTTCATAGTTATTATATTTTACAAAATTAATCCATAATGGATTATAAACATGAAAATTAAACAATGGACCTTCACCACAGAGACTTGAAAAGCAGTACATGAGACACTGCCCATCTTAGCCAAAAAGGTGCCTTCTGTGCTGGATTCAATGGCAGCATCAACAGATCATGCATTGAGATTTTCATTTTCAAAGATCAAAAATTAGTCACCAGATCCTTCTAGGTAATATGTAATGAAGTGAAATTGTTCTTTCTTGAACTCTGTTGAAAGATAGCTTGAATAAAACCACTTAACTATGTTGATTGCAGTTCTTGGCCATATGTCCAAACACTGGATCCTATGACCCTAACCAAATAAATAGTAACTACTTTGTCATCTTCTAAAGGAAGAAATGGTCAAAATGAAAGAAAACTATTGAAATCCCCACACACCTATCACTACCGTCAGACAGCCAGACCTAACAATGGTGATTGTAGCGTTAACTTTGTACATTAGGGAAGGTCATTATTAAGGTGAACATTTTATCTAGGATTTAAACAACCAGCAAGCTTAAGTACCTGGTATTTTATATATTCTTCTTTTGTGATAAAACAACCCATGACAAACTACATAGTTAATATGAAGGATTTATTTTAAAAAACAACTGCTGGGTTTTGTTGTATGGCAAGAAATGCAACTTAGTCTTCTAAGGCTGTTCATTGTAAGCCTCAGACTCTGAAAAGTCACAAAAGATCTTGAATCACAAAGATCAAATGACATTCAGCTTAGGTTTAGTGTTAATCATGTTTTCTTGTATTCTCTTTGGGAATTGGTAAGCTGGTTTTATTTGTAGGGGGAGGTGAGATATTGGGATTTGAAATCAGGGCCTCACACTTGGTAGGCAGGATCTCTACCACTTGAGCCACACCCTCAGTACTTTTTGCTTTGG